TCTGTTAAGAAAGGTGAAATAGGGAAAAGCCTGGTCGTAGATTAATATTTGGGTAATATTCAATGGCAACACTCTCTAGGATTTTCCTTCTGAGTGAGTTATTTTCTTTTTTTATGAGTGTAGCATTTTTAGAATCAAAATTGTGGTTGAATTTATTTCTATATATGACTAGTGCATTAGCTAATTTGTTTTAGTAAGGTCTCTTTTGTGCTCATAAATGCGTTTTTTTTGGGGTTTTTTGTGGGTTGTTTTTTTGCCTTGAGAAAGCCCACATTGGATGAAACACGTCGGCAACTATTACTGTTTTCCTGTTGTCATTTATATTTATAAATATTGTCTTTTCTCCAGGTTAACTCTGAGAAATTTTCATATATATATATATATATATATATATATATATATATATATAATTGAACAAATAATGAAAAATGTCCAGTTGAAGGAAAATGCAGATCTTCTAAGGTGATATACCAAGCAACCATTTACCCCAAAGAAAATAGATTAAATCACAATGTTTACATTGGAATTTCCGCGGAGAAATGGAAACAAAGACTTTACATCTATAGGCACTCTTTTACCAACCCAAAATTAAAATATCAGACAGCTCTTTCCAAAAGTTTTGGGGAATTGAGGGAGAAAGGTCTGAACCCTCAGACTGACTGGAAAATTATAAGTTTTGCTCATACTTCTAATAGTCTTAGGAATAGGTGTGATCTATGTTTAGAAGAGAAAATTAGAATAATAAAATTCAATAATCAAAGCATACGTTAAATCAAAGGAATGAATTACTTTTAATATGTCGTCATAGAAGTAGGTTTAAACTTTAATATTTTTATCTTACTTTATTTTTTAATTTTCTAGCCTTTCTAATGGTAAACATATTACTATAGTTATTTCTATATTTTGTCTTCTCCATATTAATCCTATCTTATAATCTTCCACTACTTTATGAACTACCTTTTCTTTAATTACTTAATTCTTTATCCTTTTATTTTTTTTTTTATTTTTTTTGGTTTTTATATATTACTGGGTACCGTTTATATTCTTAATAATTTTACTTCTCTTTAAAATTTTAAATGGTTAATATAATTATTTTTATTTTTATTCATTATTTTTTTAATATATTGTTTTTTTAATATAAACTCTCTACAAACGATTTATTTTTATTTTATTCTATCTTATTTGTAAAGATATTTTGGTAATTTTTAGTGGTAACAATTTTTGTATATAATTAATAATTCAAAATTTCGTTTTTTCGGCCTTCCTTTAGTTACTCTTTAACTTTCTAATAACCCCAATTCCATGTTTTAAGGTTAACATCTGGGTTGAATTTGTGTAGCTTCTTTCCTTTTAAGACATGACTTCCACTCTCCCCTTACTACCACTCGGGCAGTCTGTCTTGTCTGCTGTGTTATGGGTTGACTTTGTATCAATTTTTCAACTTCTGTCTTCGTTAAATATTAAATTTAAAAATTTTAAATCTCTAGTTCCGAAAGTGAATACAGTCGAACGTTTTGAGTTGAATAAGGCTGACGCATTCAGCGTTAGTTGAAATAGTCTATGTTCATGAGGTAAATTTGGATTTCTCTGTTACGTAATATATATATATATATATATATATATATATATATATATAAATATAATAACTTTCCTTTCATGAAATGTATTTATGTTTATTTTAAGCAAATAGGATTTAAAACTGACTAATTCGTAGCAGTCAGATCTAGCACAAGTTCAAGCTTCAACTATGGTAGCTTAGATATCAAGGCCGTGAATCGAATCGAAGTTCGACTATTTAATTCGAGACAAACATAATTGAAATGCCAGTCAGATAAAGGGTTATTATTAAACTCTCAATTATTATTCTACCATGAAATAGAAATAGATAATTCTCTGTTTCAAAAGTAGACGCACTGAGCATTGCGTGAAATACTGAATCAGACAAAGGCAGGAAAGGAACATATATATATATATATATATATATATATATATATATATATATATATATATATATATATATATATATATATATATATATATATATATATATATATATATATATATATATATATATATATATATGTTATACCTATGCGTACGAAATATTTATATGTACGCTAATACACATAGATATAAACTATAACTATAACTATATATATATATATAATAACTTTAGCATTAAACGGTGGCATATATATGTGTGTGTGTTTTACCTTTAGCATAAATGGCGGCATATATATAAATATATAATACCTGCATATTTATATGTAAAAAAATAAAAAAACCTATCGAGGCACACACATATCAACAGTATACATTATATGTGTATGTATGTATGTGTGTGTCTGCTCTTATATAAATCTAAAGCAAAAAACTCACAAAAAGTGAAGATATCTTGAATTAGTGTTTTTTTCTTTTTTTTTACCTTATTCTTTCACACCCGTTTCTAGGTCCCTTCCTTCCCGTCAACCTTCCCATTTCCTGTTTCTACTCGAACCTCTGCCCACCCCCTTTCAATCGACGTCCCTCCTTTACGTTTCTCACTTATATTCACCCTTTCTTCATTCCTGCTCATTTCTGTTTCCGAACTCATCTGATAATTTACAGGCCAACAATAGTCGAAGAATTCTTCAAGACGGATTTGCGATTCCATCACAAAAACTAACATTGAAAGACGGCCGGAATTTACGAGTTTCCATATATCATGGAGCAGTTTCGCGAAAACCAATTTTCATTCGTTTTATTTTATTTTTATTTATTTTACTTTTTCATGATTTTTAAGAGAAAGTGAAGTGGTTGGTAGGGTGTTTGGAGTGAATGGTGTTGAAAGATGTGCCTTTCCTTCGACTTTTGTGAAGTTGTTGCTCTATTTCATCTCTCACTCACCTGTCTCATCTTTTCAAGCACTCTTCTTTGTCTTAAGGTTTATCCGATTTCTTTCTTTCTCTTTCTCTCTTTCTATTTCTTCTTTTTCTTTCTTTATTCATTCCGTTTTTCTTTTCATTTTCTTTTCTTTCTTCTTTTTCCTTCTCTTTTCTCTTTTCTTTCTTTCTTCTTTTTTTTCTTTTTTTTCTTCGATCCTCATCCTGAGGTTCTTTTCTTCTTTTTCTCCTCCGTCTCTTTACAGGAAATCATCATTTTTTTTAGGAAGAACATGTTACAGCAAATTTCCGATACATAAGGCCTGCCTGTCATCCACTTTTCTTTCATCCCTTTTTTTCCTTCATTTTCTTTTTCTTTTGTTCTTTTTCATTCGGTTGTTTTCTCCTTCGACCTCCCTTACTTGGCATTCCATTTTCTTACTTTACCCCTATTTTTATTCTACTAGTATTTTTTTCATAGTCTTTCTCTTTTCCTTTCTCTTCTCTATCATTCTCTCTTCCTCTTCTCTTTCTTTCCATTCCTCTCTCTTTCTTTCTTTCTCCAACACTTTCTCCGTTTTTTTAACCTCCCACTCCCTCTTTCTCTCTGCCCTTCTTAGATTTTCTCTGTCCATCTTTCATTCTGTTTGTCCCTCTTACTTTCTCTCTCTCTTTCTGTATCTCTCTCTCTCTCTTCCCCCTTTCTCTTGTTCTATTTCTCCTGCTTACTCTTTCTCTCTTCCCCTACTCTGTTTTCCCTGACTGCTGTTGCTTTTCTCTTCTTCACTACTTTTTAAATTATTCCTGACTTGTTAACCTATCAATAATATATATATATATATATATATATATATATATATATATATATATATATATATATATAGTATAAATTAATTATACACACACACATAGATATATATATATATATATATATATATATATATATATATATATATGTGTGTGTGTTTGTATAGGTACTAATATACGTACTGTATATATTTGTAGAAATTTGTCTTTTTCTTTTCGTTCCATCATAGGCTGTTTGCCTTAAATATCATGATCAATTACTGTAGACATCCGTTACGCACCCATCAACCTTCCATCTGTAATCTGCTGCTCGTAGACAGGCAGACATCGTAAAGATAGAGGTTATATATTATAGATTTCAGATTGGAGATTCATAGAAACCAGAACCACATTTAAAGGACACAATCCATTAAAATGATTCTCTTTTCTATTTTACTGTTTTAATGTTAAAGTTACTAGTTGTTAAGCGACATGTTTGAAACTGTCAAGGACACGTTTTTCTTGTTCCTTGTCCAGGTGGAAATCTCATCTTTTAACTGAAAACTGCTATTACGAATTAATCTACTTTCCAAAGGCCTTTCCCATCCCTATCTTACTTCCTCTTTCTGTCTCTTTCGCTCTTTTTCGCTTGCTGTTTCAGTTTATCTCTTCCTATTTCATTATTTCTCTTTCATTCTTCCTTTTTGTCTATCTCTTCGTTCCTCTCTCTTTTCCACTCTTTCTTCATCTCTCTTTCTCATTCTTTCTCTCTTTGTGTTTCTCTCTTTTTCTATTCTTCTCTCCCTTTACTTTGTGTCTCTTTCTTTCTTTCCCTCCCTACCTTCTTTCTCTTTCCGTCTCTTTCTCATCTACATATATCTTTCGCTTTCTCTGTCTCTATCTGTCACGCTCTTTCTCGTTCCATCTCACTCTCTCTCTCTCTCTCTCTCTCTCTCTCTCGCTCGCTCGCTTTAAGATGTGCCCACAGTTCATATAAGAAATTTGTCTTTGTCTTTTCCAAGAATTTCGGTAAAAACTTTAATTTCAATGATTATCGTCACATTCCAAAAATGATTCGTTTTCTATGGCTTATCAACTCCTTACAAGTTATTTAAAGCCAGAAATATTTTTAGATTGTAAGAATCTTCTTTTTTTTTTTTAGATAATAATGGTGTCGTGATACAAGTCTTACTAATTAACCCATAGCTGGGGAGGGGAAGAGGTAGATTCATACCTTTCCCAAAATTATTTGCATGTAAGTGAATATAACGAACCAAACTGGAATTGGAACTCGCCTCTCCGATAAAAAATTCCGCGCCATTATGCATAACACCACCTGCACATCCAAGCTCATAGCACATGGTATTCCCAAGTGATCACCCATCTGAGTACTGACGAGGCTTGACATTGCTTAAGTTCGGTGATCCTACGGGAACCAGTGTTTCAACGCGATGTGGCCGTAAGCGCTCCAAAAATGGGATTATGGTTCATCACACTCTCTTTCTTTTTTTCATTCTCTCTTTCTTCCTGTGTTTCCCTCTCTCTTCAACATATCGCTTTACAGTGTGAGATATGACAGCTCTCCACAACTTCCTCTATTTTGTTCCTGGCAATAATACTTTGTTCTTTAAGGGTCCCCTTCTCAAAATCAGACTTATTCATACATCCCTTCGTTTACTCAGATATGTCAAAAAGGTTATTCACTGCGTTCCTCTGCATCTTTTGACTTGTGAGTGTTAAATGTTAAATTCTGCAAACCGTCTTTTCTTAGTATGTGTTCCATAACTGGCGGCTGGTTTGTTTACACACCTATAATAAAATAAATTTTACTATATATCCTGCTACTTAGCGGTTCGTCGCGTTGCGAAATAAATGACACCATTGCGATATAAATGATGCAGCATGCGCCAGGTATTTGAGAACGCGCGTTTAGACCGTATACATGAAAGATAACCTAACTTAATGTTACGCGTCATGCTCCAAATTTGAAAAGGAGGTTTCTATTCTTACTACTAGAAACCAAACAAAGTGAATCAAATTCCTGACTTTTATTAGGTTCATCGTGTTCAAGGTCAGGGTTTTAACTAGGTACCTATGGGGGTGAAATGTCATCCATGTTTACTAATGCTTTTAATCGTGTATTTCGGATATACATTTGTCACCAAAGACCGATGAAATTTAAATATCCTATGCTTTGGCACCGATTATCCTAATCCGTTTGAACATCGGATAATTCATGTTAACCTGCCATGAATAGTCGAAATGGCATTCACACTAACTCACCAGATGTCATTCCATGACATCTTCTGACTTACGACGGCGCCCACAACCATTAGCTTAATATACTTTTATTTTGGTATGTCAGTGTATTCTCTTTCTATGTACCGTGTCCTTTCAAGACGCGCATGATCATGGCTCGCCACACTTTCCTGTCCTTTGTAATTCCTTTTTTATTTGCTATCTCTCTTAATCCCTGTTCTGCCAACCATTTACACAAGTTCGTTAGGTAGGTTCTAATGATTTTCTGACCGTAGCTCACATTTGGCACAAGGCCAAAATTATGGTGCACCCAGTGAGAATCGAACTCACTATTCAGTTTTAAATGATATAGCGAGACAAGCTTGCTAACTATTTACACTACGTCGAAATGCTCACGTTGGGTAGGCTATCCGCTGTTTCCCTCTGTCTGTCTCTCTTGCCTTCAACATAACCTGTGAGTGTCTGATATTAAGAAAGAAAAAAGAAAGAAAATATTAAAATATCCTGTTTTGGTTATTTTATTTATTTATTATTTTATCCTTATTTTGTTTTGTTTTTTAATTTTATAAAAGATAATTTAGGTTGATAAACAGAATAAATATTACAAAAATGTTTTTTGTTTTTTGCTTTTTGTAATCATTGTAATAAAGTTACTAAGGATTTGCTGTTAAGGCTGTTCAGTTGAGACTCTGAGTTGAACATTTTTTCTTCTTCTTTACTTAAGACGTGGGCGATCATGGCTCTCCACTATTTTCTGTCCTCTGTCGTTCTTAGTAAATTTATCTTTTTGCTATCTCTCCTAATCACTGATCTGTCAACCATATACACAAACTAATCAGTCAAACTGTCCATCTTGTCTTCGATATGACCTGTGAGTGCCAAGTTTTCAAAGCCCTTTTTATTCCTCATTATGTTCCTTGAGAATTTCAATTGTCTTTTTCTGATGCCCGTTCTGAATAAAAAATGAAAATTGGAATAAGGAAGCTTCCTCAGAATATTAGAATTCAATCTTGGCGTTGCTTCCGATGACATAAAACTCGGATATCATGTAACCGGAAATATTCTGAGTCAGTGTTTGATGTGATTAATAGTAAATAAAAAGGTATATTTATATAACACTCTTGTTCTTATTGGTCTGAAAGTGGTTAAAAATATTCTAACAAGTCGACCAGTTTGGTTGGCTGTCTGGCTGTCTGTCTGGCTGGCTGGCTATTTCAACTTATAAATTAGTGAGTTGTCTACAACAACATCTGAACTCTTCACCCAACTCCCACCTCACCAATCAGGGCTTGAACCGTTCTCAGACTTGACTTGCTTGTACCTGAACCTGCCAAGTCTAACCGGTAACAAGGTAAAATAATAATGATGGACATGCGACGTGATTATATGAGGCCGAATAAAGATTGGTTGAAGGAAATCGGTGTAAGTTGGGTGGGAGAGGCCTGATCCCATGACCACCTTCCTCGCGTGAAGCGAATAAGGAGCAAATTACGTTGTGGCGCATGCGCAGACTAGTTGAGGCGTTGCATTCACACGAGAAGCGAGGTGTGTAGACGAATCATGTGATCAAGAATTGAATTAGTTTGTACTTTCCGCACTGCGGCTGAAAGGATTCCTACGATCATATTTGACGAGGACAGATGTGTGCCTACACGTACGTGTCGTTATATTTATACGTAGGTGCACACCTACCCACACGCACGCGCACGCGCGCGCACACACACACACACACACATATATATATATATATATATATATATATATATATATATATATATATACATTCTGAATTGTTGTGTATCTTAAAAATGATTAAAGATAATTTACTGGAAATCTCGAGGTTTTTATAACATTATTGGAATCTACTTCGAAAAATAAAATGTATTTAGCTCTAAATTGAAATGATGATCCCTCTTGCTGTTGTGACCTCCTGATTCAATTTTCCTCTCTACTGTTTCCTCTTTTTTAAATTTATTCACCGTTCTCTTGATGGTTCTTGAATGGACTTTGAGGATGGAAGCCATAGTATACATGTTGGTACAATTACTGAAGGCCTGAATGATCTTTTTTCCTCTCATCATTGCTCAGTTAGGAAGACATAGTTGGGATAACACAAAATGATTGTAACCTATTCTGTTTCTAGTGAATTACTAAAATAATTTTTCAGTGATTCTTACGACAAATTGTCTCAAGATGGCTAAATGTCTTACCTTAAAATCTGTAAAAAAGAAACTCAATTAGTTTAGTGTTTTTTTTTTAGATATTAAACATTTTGTGGGATCGACAATTGTCCCATGCTGTTACACGATTTGGACATTTTTGCTGTTACACCTGGTATATACTCTCGACACTCCCGTCGAATTTGACGTATGAGGGTCAAGCAGCTCAGTCCTTAGGAACCGACAGCCCGAAACCAACACATGAGGTTTGATTACAGTGGTGAACGTTTTGTGCAGAACTATCCACACTTTTTGAAGGGCCAAATACAGAGACCTGGTGCACTACGATGGACTAATGATGGACATGCGACTTGATTATATGAGGCCGAATAAAGATTGGTTGAAGGTAATCGGTGTAAGTTGGGTGGGAGAGGTCAGATCCCATCTCCACTTTCCTCGTGTGAAGGCATTAATACCTTTGAAAGAGGTACAGAGTTGCTACTTCCCCCAGAAGTTCATATATATATATATATATATATATATATATATATATATATATATATATATATAATTTTTCAACGAGCCTCATAAAGATTATATTCAGATTTTTTTATTAAAAAATTCAAAGTCTGTCCGAAGATGACTGCTATAACTCTTCGCCTGTACTACTTTAGTAGATATAACAAAGATTTATTTTTAAATTAATTACTATTTTTATTTTAATACTATTTCTACAGAGTTTGATTATTTTTCTATTTATCCCTGATTTTTTCTTTCATCTAAATTTAAACATATTCGAACCTGCTTTAATTTGGCGATTAGACAAGACTCGGCATTTGTAGCAAATATTTTGTGTATCTCATATAGGGTTAATGCTCAACAAGCTAACTTCATATATCATTGCTAGTGAGCAATGTATTCAAGTCTCATTGAGTATTCTGTTATTACCGCTTTAAGTACACTAATATAAGTATACAACAATAATGACTGTTTTAATAAGTGTTTTTTCTCCTACTGTATATAGATGATCGTAGGATAGGGCTTGTTCCATGCATTCTTTTTCTCCACAAATATCAAACACTTCTTAATTGATAAGTTGAGAACGAAAAAATCAAATCTTCTACCAAGTTTTCTAAGAGATGGGACTCAAGATAAACCTTTCTGAAACGGAAACTATGATCTGGAATGAGAAGGAAAACAATGATGACACCTAAACCGAATCAATCACAAAAATTCTGGATGTGGAATTAATAAATACTAAACACTTCAAATATTAATATCGGAAAATAAGGAAGTTTAACATAGAATAGGCAGCACTAGAGGTAGTTTCGCACAACACCGCAAGTTGCTTCAAAATCAAAATATTAACTTAAAAATTCGAGTCGTGTACTTAAACATACACGTCAGTCCAAGACTTTAATATAGATATCATTCATGGCGTTTTATACAAGCTCTTTATCAGACCGATGGTTAAAAATAGATTTGAGTGAATGAAGCATATAGATGCTAGCGAAGGAACATGCTTTTTCGGACATCGTGGACGTGCGCCCAGTTAAGGTGATTTTCTAAGCGAAGCTTAGATGTGACACAAGACCGAAAGTATGGGACGCCCAGTGAGGATCGAACTCACTATTCAGTCGTAATTGATCGAACGAGACAAGCTTGCTAACCATTACACCACATCGAAGTGTCCGCTAGCACTCAAGTGCCATACGTGATACACGTGGGCGATCATGTATCTTTCGATACATGACTGACGAGGCAGATTTTTTTCCCCACAGAAGATTTCCATTTCTTTCTGCTGTAGACTGGTTGCCAACCAAGGCTGGAGAAACTAGTTTGTCCTGATATTTAACCCATAGCTGGGGAAGAAGAGATGGATTCATACACTTCCCAAGGGTATTTGCGCGCAAGGGAATCTAACGAATTCGACTGCAATTCCAATTCAGCAGTTCGAATCAATATCTATTATCCCAGGGTTCGGCAACCTACGGCATGCGTGTCACATGTGGCACGTCAAGCAGTTTCTAATGGCACGCAGCCGC